GCACTCGGATCTGAGAGGTGTGCCCGTAGGTCTCCCACCCCTGCTGTGGGTACGTGTCCAAGCAGTGCACCTTAATCCCTTTAAACGTTGTTGTTCTTTGTGTTTGCAGTGAAAGCAAAGGATCCAGTTCTGTTGCAAAGTGAAGTGGCAACCCAATATTGCAGCATCGCCGCCCTGGGATCAGGCGGCTGCCTTCGGATGCACTGAGCCAGCCAGCCACAAGCACCCACAACAAAAGCACTGCTGCTGGAAAAACAGCAGGGCTGATCTGATCTGATCTGAAGGAAATCCTTCTCCTTCTAAAAGACAGTGCAGGAGAGGCCCCATAGCTCAGGAGAGCATTCAGGACTACACTGATCTTCTCAAGGGGGATGTAAATCCCCACACCCCTGTGCTAGATGTGCCTCGAGTCTCTGTATGAGTGACCCAGAACCAGCTGAGCCTGGCTCCTACGAATGCTGAAGTGTATCTGAAATACTCCACAGCTTCCAGGAAAGCAGAGGAAGGATGCTGGAAAGGATAAGGAGGGAAATGGAGGGCAGCAGTCCTGAACACAGAGGTGAGACAAGACCCGGCAACAGATTCAGATGTAAGTGGGAGAGTTCAGAGAAGAACCTGAGAACAGAGAGAACCTGAAGCCTCTTCCACCCAGCTCCTGCCCTGCCCTCTCTGTGTCCCCACAGCAAGTTTATCTCAGAAGGCAGCGTGCAATATTGGATCCGCATCCTCGTGCCTTTGCATCAGAACTGGGTCCCGTCAGACCCTTCCCCACAAACCTTTAGCGTAAGGATCTGGTTAGAGCGCAGGGCTGCGAGGGTGGTACTTAGGTACTCCTGGGGGACAGTGAAGACACACGACACAAACGGGGTCAGTTAGACACACAGCATTTCTGAGAGCAGACAAAGCACGGCTGGTCACCCCCTTCCCTGAGCTGAGTGCCCTTCCCCAGGGCAGCACTTTGGAGCAGCTCGAATGGCCAGCTCGCACCGAATGGGTAGCCCCAGGCCTGGGCTTGTCCCTCACAGCAGTGCAGGCCACACAGATTTGGAAAAAAGACAAGAAACTACAACACGAGCCAAGGCATACATCCTAACCTTACATTTCCTTCCTAAGAAACCAAAGATGAAACAAAACCGAAACAACTTCCCTGGTTTTTCAGAAGGCTGGTTGTTATTTCCTCGCCCAAAACATCTGACAAAGGACCTCATCAATCAGTAAAGCAAGAACAAGTTGCAACTCAGTCAAATCTGTTGCATTTGTACAACAAGGCTCATCCCAATTTTCATTCTGGGAGGATGAGAGGGAACTGCACCTCTCTTGGCTGGTTTGCACCCGTGACCAGACCACTGGGGACAACCCACCCTTGAGCTGATCTGACAATAGTCACCCTTCCCGTGAGCATGTCTCTGCCTTGGAACAACTCCTAGGCTTTTTGAAACATTGAACTTGAGACCAGAAGCAGCTCCAAGAAAGCCAAGGAAACATCACAAGGCTTTGCTGGGATATGAGGCTTTGCACTTGCCCCTTTCCCACTGTCACAGCCCTGTGGTGTGTCGCCTACAGCCCCCAGCCCCCAAACCAGCGTGCCTTTGCCCCCAGGGCTGAGCCCAGGCTGCTCCCAGCCATGCACAGTCTGCACCACCCCTTTCCCAGCGTTGCTGCAGGTCCTGCCGCTGCTTTTCACCTTGAGCACTGAGGACAGTCAGAGCCAAGGGTCTGTAACAGGAACCCGGGACACCTCTGGGTGAACATTGTTGTAAGCTTCTTTTTAACATAACAATCTAGTGAGCCCGGCTCGCCTAAATAAACACAGCTGACTGGCTATTATTGTACTGGGGCTGGCACATACCCCGACAGCCCTCCTCTCCCTCACCCCTCCTCTCCCTCACCACCAGCCCAGCTCTCTGCCCCTGCCTCCGCTGCACACAGCATCCAGGGACCAGAGTCCAGCTAATTGTCCAGAGGCTCGTCAAAAGCAAACAGAAAGCCCTTAAGCCTTGTCTCCCTGTACACCCAGATCATAAATTCCAGCCACTCCATATGATGTCGTTCCAACACATTTCCAGTGGATTTTCAGCCCTCCGGTTGTTTTTAGAGCCAGTTACATTTTACCCCTGTAATCCCCTCAAACCCCATGATGTACTCTCTCCTCTCTTGGCTGTGGTAGGTGCCAGCCAGGCCAGGATGAAAAGGCAAGGGGGGCAACATCTTGGCTTTCATTAAATGGATACTGGCATCAACCCTCCCTTTCTGCCTCTTCTTTGCAGGCAGAAAGCCCCCCAGACTGGGGGACAGGCATGAGGACCAGCTCACCTGCGACCAGCCAGAGCATCATTGCCAGGGGTGGTTAGGGTTACTTTTGGGCAGGCAGCACACCCCTTCCCCTCATCTCTATGCAGGTTTGAGACCAGTATGAGGGAGAAGAAAAAGGGAGGAATGACAATAGAGTCTCCCCGAGGTCTACCTTGCCTCACTGCTCCTGGCCAGACAAACCACAGCAGTCTGTGGAAGCGGGACGGAGCTGGTGGAGCAGCACAAGGTGTGAGTGGGTTACCTCTACTCCTCCAGAAACCCCAGGTTTTGTTGGGTTTTGGACACAGAGCTTCCTTGCTCTGGCACAGAGCATGGGAGGGTCTCCAGGAAGCAGCAATGACAGCATTTAGCTGGGGGTCAGCGCCAGTGGGCAGGGACAGACCAGAGAACCAACATCCCTCCTGGAAAACCTTATCTGCTGCTTTTCTGCGAAACACATCAATCAGCCAAGCGCTGCCCTCGGGGCCCCAGTGACGCATCTTGTTAATGAAACCATCTATATTTCCAACAAAAAGCCATTCAAACAAAGGAGGATTAACATGCAGGAAGCCAAGGGACAGCGGATAATAACGCTAATGACTTACCCTGTGCGGGTACTCTGCACACTGACCCTGTGAAACAAGGGGATTAAAAGAAAGAGTTTAAACCACAAACAGAGAGGACCAAAATAGACACAGGGGGTCAGATCCAGGAGGTGTAAATCATTGTGACTACACTGAATTCAGTGCAGTTATGCCGATTTGCACCTGACAAGCACCCTGCCTCCTGTCCCCTCTCCCCAGAGCCCTCTGTTCTTGCTGCATTTCTCAGCCACACAACTTCAGAACGAGCAGCACCAATGCCATCGAGCCTCTTCCCTGCTCCCTTTTTACATTTAACTTTCAACAGGTCTCCCATTAAAATTACCTTTTCTCCTTTTTGTCCTGGGGGTCCCTAGGAAGGAAAAGCGATCAAAAAAAAAAAAGCCCTCAGTAAATGAAGGAGTTCAGTGCATGCAAGGGGAAAGGGATTAGGAGGAGGTGCGACTGCAAGAGATGGGATACTTACGGGTTGTCCCCTGGGACCTGCAGCACCCTTTAAAGAGACACATTTGTTGTGAGCGTGAGATGAATTCCCATTTACAGTGACAAAAAGACAAAAACTCTCAGCCTATGGAGTAGGTGGAAACTCAGCTTTTAAAAACAATTGTGGAGAAAAGTTCCCAAGAGAGATCTGTGTTCCCTTTGTTACTCTGGAGGAGTGAAAATGCACACATGTTCTGGCTGCGCTGCGGGGGGCAATTATTAAAAGGAGAGGGGAAAAATCATCAGGAAAACACACCCTTATTGTTCCCAGAACCTCCGTCGACAGCGTGCCTCCTTGGTCAATGCACTGGGATCGAACCAGAAGCAGCCAGGACTGAAGCCTGAGCTGCAACAGCCTGAGCCAGGATTGCACAAACAGGGGGATGTCAGCTCACCCCTCCGCCAAGGAGCAGGGAAGGGGGGGGGGGGGCTTCAACATGTGCTTGCCAGAGGGTTACACTCACACTCAGGCTCAAAAAAAACAGAACTAGCAGAAGAAAACATTCAACATTTCAGTAAGCAACGGTGACTACAGAGCTGCTAGCTTGGCATACTCGTATTTAGGGATTTCATCATCAGAGACGTCGAGAGGAACAAGACCACATTTGGGTTTCCATCAAGTGCAGCCTAAGCTTATCGTTTTCAACCAAAAGCATTTCAGTACGATGCACATATGAAACAGAGTTTCAAGAGGGGAAAGACAGACATTTAATACATAAAATATGCTTTTTTTGTTGTTGTTAGATAAGTTGAAAGCTGCCAGATGGGCTTTCAGAAATCTTTCCATCAACTTTTACTTCTGCTATGAGGCCAACCACGAAAAATGTTAGCTCCCAGAGTATATTTAAAGAACATAATTGCTAACTGCAAGGAAAACATATCCCATGCATAACTAGAGAGTTGCTGTTGTGACATGATGATCTGATAGCCATAATATAAAAATTACAGGCATGCATCCCAGCACGGCTATTATGAAGTTACAGAATTAGGGATGCAGCTAGTGGATTAGCTGAACTAAGATCACTACCCTGCCTATGAGCTTGTTTCCAGCTGAGAGGCAACGTCATTTCAAACCAACCCATCACCCACAGACAGACTTTTTTTTATTTTTTTTTTACCATCTCCCCCTTCTGTCCAGGATGACCCTGCAAAAGAAAGAAAACACGCATCAGCTTCAGCCACTGCAGAAGATCTCTAGATGATGTTGCCCCTTACCTCAGGAGGTCCCCATAGTCACTGTACCTGGTGAGGGGAGATGCAACATTGTGCATGTGGAGCTTTGCTCACACACCTAACAGGACACCACTCCCTGCTACCCAAAACGCAGAGAACAAAGATCTGGAGGATAAATAGGTGGTGCAAAGGCTCTAAGGGCCATGGCCAGGACATGATTAATCTCCCCTCAGGCTGGCAGAGCAGCTTCACCTGAGTGCAGTGCACTGTGCCTTGCTGGGGCTCACCTGTGTGTCCCCAGAGCAGTACAAGAGAGACACTGCTGGGTCTCCCTTGAGGGTAATGTTCCTCATAGCAAAACTAGGGTTCTGCTGTAGGAGATAGGGTGCCAGAGGTATGTGCAACCAGCTCCTTCTCCATTACAGCATGGCAAGAGGAAGCGTGGTGGGGAACTTGGATAAGGGGCTGCCTAGAGCTATGGGTTTCATGTCAGTTGAGTTCATAGGAAAGGATCTATATGTGTGCTTAGCTCTCTGAAGGATGGGAAGAACTTAGGTCTCTTCCTGTACTACAAAACTTACTATAAGGAGGCTCTAAAGACAGCATGGAGGTCGTTAGGCTTCTTTCCTCTTCTGCTGCAACTCTTTGCAGCCCAGCAGTGAAGAGAAAGAAGCTGTAGGGTTGACTTCAAATGAAGTTGTCAGGTGTCTAAGGCAGAGGGCTGGTACCTAGGGGACCTGCTCTGCCTGTCTGACTCATGGAGGGAGTGACTGCTAAGGCTTTCCCTGCAGCAGCCAGGCTGTTGCACTTGTGAAGTGTTATTTTATAGATTTGCCTAGAAAGGAAACGGCCACGCTCTGCCTTCCCTAATCTCCCGAACTCCTGCGTCTCCCCCAAGGCATCTGTGGTATCCTCCTGTCTGCCAGCCTTCTAATTTCCTTTTAATCCATGCACGTGCATGACATTGCAAAATAATCCTCTTAAAAACATACTCTCTAACACGCAGGCTGGCAGGAGAATGGGACCTGGCAGTAAGGAGGGCAGAAAGCTTTGAGAGAAGCTGTTTGCTTACCGGTTTGCCGTCCAAGCCGATAGGGCCCTGAAATAAAAAAGGAGAAATGATGAGAAATGCTTTCACTGGGGTGTCTGTCCATCTGCCCCAGCAAGTGCCATGTGTCACAACACTGCACAGACTGGGGAAAGGATGCAGAGTTGAGGCAACTCTCTCTGCCCTCCTGATGAGTCCTGGCAGGTCCCTGGCCCACTGGGTAGCAGCCCAGCTTCCCGATTTCTTCTGCAGGGACCTGTTCACTGTCAGCCCATTCCAGCAGCAACTCTGGACACAAGAAGGGAATGGAAGGGAAGGGAGGAGGGATTCATGGGTAACTTGCAAAAAGCCCTCAGCATTTTAAATTTTGTAGTGTCCCGTGAACTAGTCGCAACGCAGCAGTTTTCTCCAGACTTTTTGATTTAAAAAGGCACCCACCTTTGGGGGAAGAAGAATTCTTGCAAATGATAGAATATTAAAAGTGTCCCAAGGGCAGAGGTGACATACAGCCCAGCAGCATTTCTGAAGGTACTATTTGATGAGAAACAGGCTCTGCGGAGCACTGTCCCACCCGGCACTTTCTCATGAGCTGGGCTGATTTGTTTTCTGCTCCTCCGAAAGCCAAAGACCACAAAGGCCTGGAGAGATCTGCTTCTCCTCAGCCCAGGGGCAGCTCACAGCCCCCCCTTTTCTGCAAAGGGCAGAGCCACGGAGCCCGGTCAGACAGCTCGGAGGCTGCCAATTCCTCCCGTTTTCCAGGCGTGAGAGTCTCCCCCGCAGACCTGCTCTGGCACATGGTGTGTCCTGGAGCAGCAGCTGAGCTGCCTGGCGGGAGCAGGGATATGGAGAGTGTTTGTGTTTGCCTTAGGCTTCCTAGTCCTTGTCCAGGACAAATGCATAAGAATAAATAGAAACCGTTTGAGCTCTCCAGCAGCCTCAACGCTTCAGAGAGCGTTGCCAGCAACTGTAGGACTGAAATGAAATTTGCTTTGTCCTCCCCTGGGTTTGTTTCCTGTTCCCTTGCCCATCTGTAACACAGTTGGAGAAGAATCCCCCTCCCCTCATACTTTTTGTCCTTTTTCTTTGGCATGACCACAATGTTCAAACTAGTATGGTCCCCAGCTGACCTGCATCACGCAGGGCCCTGTTTGGATCACAGGAGCCCACTGCTATTGCAGTATCACCTAAAGGCTCAATTAAAGTTGGAATTTCACCTACCTAGGGGTTATTTTCCGTGTTTGGGGGTATTTCATAGGATGGTTTTCTTTTACTGAACAGATCTGGCTTCAACTATGTTATTTTAACACTTGGGGTTTTTTAAATTAATTTCCTTTCGGAGTTGTATGGCTTGGGTTTTTTTCCCTAAGTATCATTTAAAAGAAAAACAGGAAGAAAAAAAAAAACAAAACAAATGAAGAAAAAATTACTTTTTCAGTGATATCAGATCGGTTCCTTGGTTTCAGACAGAAATGATGAGATACAGCAAGCACTAATGACACTTCCTAGTAATATTGCACACCCGTACCTCATAAATTAGCAGTTACACTTACCGGGAATCCAGGAAAACCTCTTGTTCCAGGCTGTCCCTGGGAAGGATGAAACGGAGACAGCAGTTTAGAGGAAGTGAAGTGGATTCTGCCTGACCCTAAGTTCTCTCTACGGAGCCTTTCCTCCAGCCTCTGCCCATATATCCTATGACTCTCTGACTCTCTGAAGAGTTACCCAAGACCCCATTCCCCTCCAAGGGGAAAGCGTCTTGGGAAGGAGGGGAAATCTCTCATCCCCACTCCAATTTGTACAGGGCCAAGAAAATCCTGGAGCAGGTCCAGTTTGGACTGCAAGCACTTTCCTTGAAGTTTCTACATTAATTAAATGGGTGTCCCTAGCCCATATGCGAGGCTTTTGGAGTGTATTCCAGAGGCTGACCTCATTTTATGGCAATTCTTGCTGCCATAAACCAGAGGTGTTTAATGCAGGGTGCTGCTCTGTGCAGACAAACCTTGCAGGTCACTGTTGTGTAAATACAGCCATCCCTCTTCTCCTCCTCCCCTAATCTCATGTCCCAGTGCATTAATTTCCTTCACAAATAATTCTGGAGAAGAGATGATTTTTTTTTTTCTTTTCTGTTTTTTTCCTCTGAGAGCTAAGAGAAAAAGGAGAGTTAGGTAGTGTGATGAGAGGAACATGAGCACCAAGTCCTTTCCCCCGCCTCTTTTTGGCTAGCCAGCGTTGGCTACCAGTTTGGGATCAGGTACAGGAAATACTGGCTTGGGATGTATTTGGCAGCTTCTTCAACACCCACTTAAAACACTGAAAAAAAAGAAAAAAATAACATCTTGGCTGTTAATTTTTCCTAGTTCTATGGTTTCTGGGACCTGTGACATCCCAGGTCGCAGTTACCCTAGGTTTGTGGGTATCCAGAAAAGATACCATTTTACTTAAGGATTTTTTCATCTCAATTTCTGGAAAAATGTGTGAGCCAAGTTGGGAAGAAATACGGACCAGGCTTCAGCAGTTCTGGAAGCACAACCCTGTAGATGGAAACAGCAGGATGAGGTAAATCCTGTACCAGGCTCATTGAGTGACCGCTGCGGCATCTTGCCTTCTCTGAAAGTCGTGCTTTGATGCCAAAAAGCCAAGCTTTCTTCTGTGTTTTCATGCTTTGTTTTGGGGAAGAAAATGCTTTGTCAGGCAATTTGAGATACCATAACCAGAGTCTTTGAGTCCCACAAGGGTCTCCTAGGAAAGAGCTGGGTATAAACAAGGGTTCACTTAAAAAAACAAATGCACACGGGTGCATCTCTGCCTTAACCAGAGCTATTCCCTTGTGGTGCCGAGGGAAGGGAAAGGGAAGGAGGGGATGGGCACGTTGGGCTGTGAGGCTGAGGTTTGCCACAGCGCAGCAATGCCAATCCCATGGCAGAGAGCTCAGAGCTATGCTAGCAGGGAAAACCTTCACCTTCAGGTTGCATCTCCTCCAGCCTCCCTCTGCCTACAGAGAGACTCAGTGAAGATTTGGCCCTTCAGAGATGAGGCCAGGTAATCTCTTCGCAGAGTTTGAGGGATGCCCCATATCACAAAAGGACTTGCATTGTGGTGAAGAGTTGTGTTTTTATACACAATGCTAGCAGAACCTAATCCCATTTGCTCTGTTTTTTCAGTTCTGCAAAGTTGAACTTGGTCAGCTTTGCTTTGCAAGATACATATAAAACCACCTGGTCATGTTGGCCAGTGACCAGGAGGGAAGATAGGCTATAAATTAAAGGATCTGTCCACTGCTGGTTTTTAAAAAGCAAGAATCAAGAAAAGCCTAGCCACAATTCATTAATTTTGGTTCCCTGCTGGACATCTCCCTGGACAAGAAGTGCTAAAAAAAGAATTAGGGAGAAAACCTGGAAATTGTGCAATTTGGCTTCCTTTGTAGACTACAGACTGCTGCCTCTTTCTCCTTGGAGGACAGCAGAGTGATTTGCACGGTATCAAGCCAAAACAACAGTTCAGCAGCGAGCAATTCCAAGAGACTGTTTTTGTTGGGTGGCTGTTTTTCCTTGTCTTCTTTTTAAAATGTTGATCATATGAAGTATGTAATCCCGGGAGCTGCCAAATCATGGAGACCGTCTGTTTCTGCCACTATCGGTGCACTGTCCCTCTCTGGCCAGAAGTTAAGCAGCTCTGAGCTCTAGCGAAAACTTTAACCTCCAAACAAAAATCTGGAAACTATTTGTCATCCCACGTCTTTCCGAGTGGCCCCTTGGCCGGGGTTTCCGTGTTTGTCTTCAGTGTTCAGCCATCCTTTTGACCTATCACCAGCTCCCCAGGAAACTGGATCATCTTCACAGTAGGCTTTGGGGGTGGAAGTGTGGAGTCGTGCCAATCCTGGCACCTCGGAGCTTTGACTGGGGTAGGCAAAAGCCTATTTTAAATACCATTTGCCATCTAAGTTCTCTGCTGCTTTGGAGATTCAACATGCTCTGCACTTTCCCAAACAGCAGCAAAGGCAGTGAGGCAAAGCAGCAGCATCAAAGCAGACATTAAAAATTGTCCTGCAGACCAGGCATATGTCCTTCAAGAGCACAGTGGTGCCTGTCTCTGTCTGTAGGACCTTCAGTGGACAGGGACTGACAGTTTTTCTCTCCAATTACTACAACCACACTATACAGAAGGCTGAAAGCTACAGCTTAAGAGAAATAGCAAAAGCAATGGGGCATTTACCCTCAAAACCTGCTACTTGTGGAGCATGGTGGCCTTGGTCAGAGCTTGTCATGGAGAGACCTGCCAGCCTTTCCTCCTGGCCTGGCCACACGGCCACTCTGCTGAGTATAAAAGACTTGGGGAGACCTGCTTGTGCCCTGGGCTTTGGTTGTGTCACTTCTCAAACTCCAGTGTGCCGGGCAGGTGGGCCTGGGAACCGACAAAGCTGTATCTTATTAGAAACACTTATCACGGGGCTTTTGGAAAGTTAATTGGAAAGCCAGATGTCGCCAAGTGTTTGCACTGCCTAGGTCTCTCTCACTTGACCTCTGCTGTGAAACAAAAGTTGCCGGCAGCCCATCCTCTCTGCAGGTCAAGGACGGTGCTCTTCACAGGTTAATCAAAATCGGAAGCGCCCGCTAGGAGGGAGAAAATTGAGTCAGCAGGTCCTTTTTCATGGAAATCTCTGTGGAGGGTGTGCAGGGGTGGAGCGGGAAGGACTGGCTGCATCTGCACAAAAGCAGAGGCTTGACAGCTGAACCACAGTGCAAGAAACATCCAGCATTTAGGGCACGTAAATGCTCCAACCCTTCAAGTTGGTCTTTTTTTATGACCCTATCCTTGCAAAAAGCTTTGTCTGGCCAACTCGTTGCACTCTGCAGAGACACTTTTGCTGGAAGAGGGTGCAAAATCCTGCCGAAGCTTTCCTCAGCTCCCCAGACAGCTAAGGGCCTTTCCAGACAGCAGGAACTCTGCTGTCAAAGAGTTTCCAAGATGATGGGTGCTTGACAAGGCCCTCTTAACAACTCTGAACAACCCATCCTTGGGAGTTCTCCAGTCACCAGCTTAACTCTGATCCTGCTCTTCTGCAAAATCAGGGGGTCTGTCCTCTGCTAATGAAACCAAAGGCTGAGATCAGCCAGGCAAAGGGTGTATTTTCTCCAACAGTGGTAGAAGCCCTGTTGCAAGAAGGAAATATGCTTCTTCCATTTAAATACAGGAATATGGTTTCCTCACAAGGGAAGGCTTCCTCATTTGCTCTGGAGCATGAGCTGTAATTTCATTATATATAGCATATAATAGCAGTATAAACCAAGCCTGGCTCAGCACTGGAACCACATTATACAGGGTTTTTGCTCTCTCCAGCTGATGCTGCATCTTACTGCCCCTCCTAAGTCTCTCCCTGTAACTTGCCCACATCCTGCATCAGTCAAAAATAGAGAGCAAAGCCACTTACGGGTGGACCGCGGGGCCCGATGATAGACATGCCTGCTTCTCCTGGAGCACCCTGCAGAGAGACAAGGGAGAGGACAAGGGGTAAGAAAAGGTGGGGAGGAAAATACAAAGAATTCTATTCCCATCATGACTAGTAAGAAAAGGTGGGGAGGAAAATACAAAGACAATTCTATTCCCATCAAGACCGGGGTTAAATGAGAGTGCTCAAGGTGTGAGAGCTGTAGGGCTGATGGGGCAGCTGCCATTCTGGCCTCCCACAGCTCTTGACCCACACTTTGGGAGAAAACATGTTGTTTGGAGCTACTCAGATGTGCCAGAAAATGGAAGCTGCACAGCAAGAAAAACGATAAAGACATAAAACACTTTCTGGCAGAACAGAGGTTCTGCCCCATTACAAGCGTGAAAGACGGCCTGAAACCCTTGCTGTTTTCTTCCTGTGAGTCCAGGAGGACTGTGTCCTGCACAAGAAAGAAAAGAAAGGATGTGCTGGGCTCAAGGGAAATGGGAACTATGGGCAGCTCACTGGCTGCCTCCAGAAACACCTCGCTTGTGTGCTTCTCACACTCCGTTGGGATGTGGATGAAAATATTTTTTTCCTTGCTGGAAAACAAAACAGCTGCCTCTGCAGCCCCTAGCCACCCACGACGTGTGATGGGCAGGACACATCTTTGGAAAACATGGCGTATTCCTGAGAGGCAGCTCCAGAAGCACTCAGGGCTGCAGAGCCTTGGGACGGAGCATCCCATAAGCCACGCGGCCTGTGAGCAAGCAGAGCTCTCTGCAAAACAAAGCCAGTGCCTGCCAAGGACCTAGGACTCTCACAGGGGGCTCTGGGGAAGCACGGGCAATTAAGAGTGATTTTTCCTTTGTTTGTTTGTATCTATCTGCTGTCCCTTCATGTTGAAAGCTTTGGCTGGAGAGAAATGCAAGGACACGGAGAGAAAAAGCAGGGTGGCTTCAGGCAGTGAAATCTTGGTCTGTTAGGTAATGTTGGTTTAGCAAAGTCCTTGCTGGAAAACAAAACAGCTGCCTCTGCAGCCCCTAGCCACCCACGACGTGTGATGGGCAGGACACATCTTTGGAAAACATGGCGTATTCCTGAGAGGCAGCTCCAGAAGCACTCAGGGCTGCAGAGCCTTGGGACGGAGCATCCCATAAGCCACGCGGCCTGTGAGCAAGCAGAGCTCTCTGCAAAACAAAGCCAGTGCCTGCCAAGGACCTAGGACTCTCACAGGGGGCTCTGGGGAAGCACGGGCAATTAAGAGTGATTTTTCCTTTGTTTGTTTGTATCTATCTGCTGTCCCTTCATGTTGAAAGCTTTGGCTGGAGAGAAATGCAAGGACACGGAGAGAAAAAGCAGGGTGGCTTCAGGCAGTGAAATCTTGGTCTGTTAGGTAATGTTGGTTGACTCCAATGAGCAAGCAGAAGCTTGAAAGCAAGGAAGGAGAGTCTCTATCCTACCTTGCCCTTCCTTGCTGTTTTTCTCTCTATCTCCTATGAATAGGAGCAAATGGGCCTGGAATGGCAGTGCCATCCCTGATAGGGATGATCCCCCTATCAGGTAAATATTCATCCCTTTACTAATTTCTACCTTCTAATTTCTACATTGTTATTCAGTTATTCACACCCCTAAAACACCTCCATCCCACTGTTCTTGAGGGTGGGAGGTAGAGTTCTTGGGAAAACACACTAATGCTGAAGTGTCAAACACCTCAAAATATGGGGGCCAGCAGCAGGGTGCTTTGCAAACCAGAGCTGCTTTGGAGGGATGAAACACCAGTTTGCTGCATGGCAAACAGTTTGGGAGATGGCTTCCTATGGGCTTAAGACAGACCGTTGGTTTTCCTTAGGAGGAAGAGGTCCCACCAAGTCAGAAGTAGAGCAAGGATGAAAATGGCACAGTATTATCCTGGCTTGCACAGGGGATCAGGCTAACCTGGGCGGTGGAGGGGAGCTATGGGTTGATTAGGGGAAGGGGAGCAGCCAGCGGGGAAGAAACTCAATGGTTAAAACCCAAGACGCCTCGAGGGAAGCCCTGCGTGTGCCCGCTGGCTCTTAGGCTGTTAGTAAATTGTCATAAACAAGAAATGAAAGGTCTTTGGAGGCTGAGTGGCCTGGAAGGAATCTGGGAGATAAACTTGCATTGCCAGGGACAATGGGACAGCCCGGGGGAGTGAAAGCCCAAAGCTGGCTGCCGTGGCCATGACTGTGACCAAGGGGCTGGGACTGGCCCTGGAGGAGAACAGTCAGGAATGCTATGGGCTGTTAGGAGCCGACTCACCTTCTCTCCAGGTTGCCCTTTTAGTCCCTGGTCAGTGGCACCCGTCACAGCCACATGCAAGAGGGTGCAGGGAGGAGAGGGGGAGAGAGAGAGAGAGAGAGAGAGACAAACACAGGCGTCAGCGGCAAGGGCACGTTCCTCCACCCCAAAACCCTGGCTATGGGGCTATGGGATGAGCAGGGCAAACTCAGCTCCTTCCCCAGCCCTCTTTCCCATCCTCACACCCTGGGATGCCCGAGCAAAGAGCAACTCCAAAATACAGCACTCAGCCAGGCAGGGGATGCCCCCACCTTGTTCAGGGGAGGGTTATTTGGAAGGGGTAGCTGCCAGTGGCAGGCAGGGGTGCACGTTAGCAAGCCCACAGTTAGCAAGCCCAGCTGGCAAACAAGGTGGCAGCAGGAGGCACCCAACCCTGGGAGGGGGGGATGTTGATCTAGAGGAGAGTCTGAGCATTAAGGCAAAGGGGTTGGAAACACCCCCCAGGCATGGATGCGGTCTGCAGGGCTGGCCACCCTGCTGTGACCAGGAGAACCCCTCGGGGAGGGTGGCTTTGCTCAAGCTGGCACCCGCCAAGGGCCACCTTTGAAAGCAACACCAAAATCTTGGGGGTTGGAAGAGTATGGGGAGGGTGAGAAACATACAAGAAGTTTCGACTTACCGGCCGCCCAGGGATTCCCATTGCACCTTTGTCTCCCTGGCAATTAAGGCAAAAACAGAGGCAATTGGAAACTGGCCAAAAGCAAGGTTATAAAAACAGCACAAATGAGCTGTGCCACAGACGCAGCTTCAGGCTGCGGTGCGAGTGTTCAGGGATTTTGAGAGAGGGACAGAGTAAGTTAAAGAGAGAGGAAAGTGTGTTTGCATGTGCCCGAACCTGTCTTTAAGAACACGCATAAGTCACAAGTTCACTCGTGTATATTGCAAACCAGCACATCTCCCAACAGGAATGACATGTGGCAATTTAGGCAGCAAAAGAAGGGCAAGAGTATTCAGCCTAACAAAGTATAATCTCAATTTCCAACACTTCATAAAATTTGGGTCCTGGGAACTGGCTTCTTGCAGTAGCCAACTGTCACATTTTCCTCTTTCTTTACCAAAGTCATCTGGGTGTTAGCTATTTATTTATAGAGTTATCACTTTAAAACAGGATTCTCTTACACTTGAAAATATGGTCCTGTCCAGAAGCAAGAGAAAAATGTGGGAAAACAAGCTGACACAGGAAAAAGCACGTCTGGAAGAAGACATATGAGCAGCTGTGTTCAGTGTCCTCTACCCCTTTGAGATACTTCCCAGTGAATTGTCAGGGTGTGAACGATCCTAACAGTGGTTTGGGGAATGACTTTGGGTCAGGCGACACTGAACAGAGCCTCGTAAACACATGAACACAAGACCAGTGGCAATTTTCTTCAGCCACTTTACCTACAAGGCAGTTTTCTGCCTCTTACAGCTAAATTTAACTATGCAATTTAAAAAATAAATATATAAAAATCAACCTCCTCTGCATTCCTGGTCACCAAACTGAAGGCTATCCAGATTTGGAAGACAGCAGCTGATCGCTGAAAGGATCTTGATGATTATGGCTTCAGCGGTCATGTAGCTTTTCCTCTATATTTTGCAAAAAATGACGTGATAATAATCTCTCATTTCTGTTTCCAGCAATGTTTGGGGTTTCCTTATGTAAAACAGAGTGTCCCTGCCCGTAGCTGCCTGCATCTATAGACATAAACTTGGTTTTCTGGTTTCTGCAGCTGGAGACACCAGCCCCATTGGTGCCACCTCTCTGTGCCTTCCCCCACGTTCAGTTCCAACGTGTGTGAACAAAGTCTGAAATCTCTGGAAGGGGAACATACTTCACTCTATTTATTTTTCCAGGTGTATGCAGAGGCTCCTTTGGCTGTGCACCCCAAACTCGGATGCTATTGCCTGGAATCAAACTGTTACCTGGGGAAAGTTTAGCCCCTTCCTTCTGCAGATCTTGGGGGGGGGGGGGGGGTTTTGAATTTGGGGG